GTTGATGACCTTCTTCCTAGCTCTGAGATGATTCTGCTCAATGTGCCTTCATATGGCAGATAGAGCATGGAGTGTGTGGAAGCTCCTTCTTACAGGCAAGTTGAGGAAAGACTGCATTCCTCAAAGCCCCATCAATGCTAACCTCCCAATGCCATAGAGGTAGTTAAGACATCAGCATGACAATTTGAAAGAGCATAAATAATCAACCCAAAACAAATGCTAGCTTCACATTTACTTAAATGTGTTTTAAAGATATGAACAGAGAGGCCTGAGAGATGACACAGAGGTTCAGAGCATTCATTACTGTTGTAGAGGACTGGGTCACTCACACCTGCCTGTAATTCCAGCTGCAGAATACCAGAGGTTCTCTTCTAGCCTCCTTGGATGACTGCATTCAAATGCACATACCCCCACACAGATACACATGCATACACATAATTTCAAAAATTCTAATACATCTTAACGAAAAATATGAACAAAATTATTTGGTCATGAATGTTTCTTGATATAAAAGTCTATTATTTCTTATGCAAGGAAATTATAGGCTTGTCCATACAGAAGATAATGGTCTCCAAAACAATTTCCATAAATGTAAAAAATGAAGTTGCAGGAGAAAGAGGACCAGCAGGTGGCATGTGTGCTTTCTGTGTGCACAGCTCCTTTTTTTCTGTTTTCATTTTATTTAAATGTTCTTTTTTTTCATTTTATATACCAACCACAATTGCCCCTCCTTCCCCTGCTCCTGCTCAGTTCATTTTAATTATAACGAAATGTTTGGAAGGAAGAGAAGTGATCAGTTAGTATAGTGTGGTTGTTGTGGACAGCCTTGAATGGTAGTCTTGTCATCTGTGGATTTTTTATTCAGTGGTTTGAAAACCACTGTACTTGTTTTTCATAAAACCATGGGTCACAATGTTTTAGAATTTTAAGCCATTGGGAAACAAGGATGCTTTGGGATACATAGAAATTACACAGACTTTGAACCAGTGTTCATCTTTGTAGAATCGCTGATGTGAAACTATACCTGTCCCTTCACATGTGGTGGGAACACACAGCCTGCAAAGTCTGAGGTTTATTGTCTGGCTCCAGACAGGAAACCAGCTGACTCTGGCCATATATATGTATATATAAAACTTTATTTTAATGCTAATTTTTTTCATCCTTGCTGATAGTAAATTTGAAAAACTGTCATTTACCGTCAGTGAACAAATTTTATCAAACCAGCTGCTTCTGCCTTTGTTTCTGTTTCTGACATCAGAATCCATTCACAGGTGACAAAGTGGCAGCTGTAGTTCCCATGTGACTTCACTAATTGTGATCTTTATGATTCAGGGAAGCCCAGCCTCATTAATCTTACTTGTACACTTATGTATTTGAAGCATCTATGTGATACTGGTTTGTTATATGATTCCCAGTCTTATGTGTCTCAGACATTAAAGAGAACAAGGTCAGACTCTGTCCCTGTGTCTCTATGTCCATCTTTTTTCTCCTGAGCCTTTTTCAGTTATCATTGCCACTTTGTGAAGGATTATTCTGATAAACAAATATAATAGTTTTAAATGTATTTCCTGCATAGCATAACAATAATGAGGAAAAATCAATTAAAATGTCATTTCTAAAATATGTTCAAGTTGTTTCATAATACTATAGAATTTTATAATACACTTCCTTTTTGAACAATGGATTCATGACTTATTTTGACATATTCTGCAACTATCTTTTATGTACCAATTCTTTGAGTCTTGATTTATAGTATTTTGCATAAATTCCTTGATAATTCTATTTTCATAATGCTTCTAGACAGATTGTCTTCATACATACTGCTGTTTTTATATTAATTTATAACAGCCAGATTCTATAATTCTTGTTGCTGCCTTCAAGATATGTTTACAATATGTTACTACAAAATAATTGCATTCACTTTCATAGTTAATTTAAAATTTTTTTTGTATATGAGACAAACTTTTTCTTGAACACAGAAGTATTTGTTTTAACTTTTGTTAATGTTGAAAGCCTGATTGAATATCTTGAAGGTAGTTGAGAGGTTGCACTGGTTTGCAAAGAGATAAGAAATGCAACCGTAACCTTCCCTGTTTAATATAAACATAATATTGGATAAGAACCTTTCTCTTATGGTTTGTGTTATATACAAAATGTTCATTGTCTGTCAAGGTCTGTGTGAAAATGCTTTCAGATGAATACAGATTCTCTGCTCTCTTCTTGGCACCCCTACAAACAATTGTTGGATTTTTTTTTTTTTATCTCCAATCTTCTAAATGGCCAGAATGCAACTTAAAATGCTACATGGCTGCTTTTTGTGAAAAGTGTGTATTTACAGGTTAGGAATGGGGGCTTTTTTTTTTTAAAATTTTACAATACTATTCAGTTCTACATAACAGCCACAGATTCCCTTGTTCTCCCCCCCTCCCCCCTTCCCTTCCCCCCAGCCCACCCCCCTGGAGAGATGGCTCAGCCATTAAAGGCTAGGCTCACAACCAAAAATACAATTGTTGGATTTTAAGTGTAAGTTCAGGAAGATTTCAGTACCTTTGTAAAGTTTTTAAATGAGAATTTGTGTCAGAATTACCTGATGGACTTCCTAAAAAGACGTGTGCTTGTACATATCCAGGTGCATAACTCTGTAATTAATATTTAGTGATAATTAGCACATCAATAAAGAAACTTATAGTTTAATTGCTATATTAAGACATATGTTTGATTTCAGGCCAATAGGTAAAACATTTCTGTAATTGTACATATCCTGAATATCATAAATCAAATCCTCATAGTAGGAGCAGGAAAATCATAAGTGTCTGTATATGCTCATAAATTATAGACAAACAGGCAGGGTCTCAGGAGATGCCTCAGTTCTGTGATAGTCCTTTCATAGCAAACATGGAATATTTGGTTGATTTCAGGGTCCCACGTAAAGGTGGAGCGAGATAACGGACTCCACAAAATTGTCCTCTCATTTCCACAGTTATACCTTTGTATGAGTTTAGAAACATATATAGTACCCACAATAAAATAAAAATGAAAAACTTAAACATGAAATTATCTCATTAAAATACTGCATAGTTTCTACCAAGATATGTGTCACCATTTATCCAGCAATTTGTATGGAAGCTCCAATTTGATTCACACTATTAAATCTCCTCCATGGAGCTGTTAACACAGTTAGTTTTGTTTTGCTTTGCTTGTGATCAAGAGCAAAATATATGTCATTGTGTTTCTTTCCTTGTGTTCCATTTGGGTTATAAGGATCATCAGGGTCAAAGGTCTAATTCGATATTTAGGTGGTTTGTGTGCAATATCAATGTTTTAATTTGGTATTTTTGCTCCAATTTGGTGAGAATTAGTTGGGCTTCTTTTCTAAACTTAAAGCAAATTGAGTACTGAGAATAAGAGTATGGGACCAAACAATCTGGGTAGCAACTATCACATGAGACATATTTGTCTAGGTTAGGAAATGAACCAATTTTGTGTGTCAATTTATATATTTTTCTTTTTTATTAGCAAAAGAGGAACAGCAAAATTTCATTGAGCAATAAATGTTGTATAGTGTGTATGTGTGATATGAATATGTGTATAAGAGTGTTGATACATATATGTAAAATATAGTTTATACTACAGCTACTAGAGTATACATAATGTACATATAAATATATGTGTATTTTATATTCATAGAATAAAATAATATAATAACATTATACAATTTTATCTATTCTATAATAATAAAATATATTATTTCATTTATAGTATCAATAAAACATAGTTTATACTATAGGTACTATATACATAGCTATTATATATTATAAGGACATATAGGATATAGTATATGTTTTTGCATCTAATATATGCTAATGTATTCTATACAATGTAAATTATTTAGAATACATTTTAGTTGATTTTATACACTTTTTGAGATGAATTGGATTATCTTAATATCCACATATGTGCATACATATGCCTGTAAGAACATTAGGTAAATTTGCATTCCAACTACCACTATTAAATTTTCAATGTATTTCTTGTTAAATACTTCTACTAAGTAAAATGTCCTTTGGAATTGGCCATATATCTATCGTGTTCTTTATTATTAAAGTCTTTCTGTTTTGTATCATTATATGTAGAGGACTTGAGATTTTCTTCAGTGAAGAGACTGAGAACAGAACCTATGAAAAGTGATCACTCTTCACGAGTTATTGTTCCAATCAGCTTCATACCACATATATATAGTTCTTTATTTGAACAGATGTTGCTTTTTTTAGTGTAACATTTAATTTTGTAAGCAAGCTTCCAGTGAATGCTTTTAAATAACATTTTAACATCATTAGTCTTCTTAGGAAATCACATACAAATATAAAATTCTGAAATATAACTATCGGACATCTAAATAGAGAGCTTTTTTTGTTTAGCAATGAGCTGTTAAAGAAAGCAGTGTTGATGAGTGCTTTAATAAAGAAAGGAGCAGTGCTTTACATAAAGGCTGTAGAATGAATCTGAGAAACATTGATATGCTTCCACTTCCATTAAATCTACATTTAGAGCACCTGAGAACTCTAAATATGAGCACAGCCTCTAAGCCACTTATTTTTTAAATGAGCGATTGAGTAGACACGGGGTTTTCCTTTAAATTTTAGCATATATTCCTAAGTAAGGTAGATGGTTTGTATGAGTTAAGAATATTAAACTAATGCTTTGTTGGAAATTATTTTAAATCAGACCATATTCTTTCAGATAATGTTATGAAGACTTGTGTCTGCCCCAGATGTGCATGGCAGTAGAGTGGATTAAAGTCAGCTCAAAAGCACTACCATAGTCTGAGCCAGAAAACTAACAAGGACTCTGATTGGCATAAACTCTTATTGTGTTGGAATGCTGAGGGTGCATTTTCATGACAGAGTCCCCTCTACGGTTATTGACATTCATAAATGAAAAGGCTTGCTTTGCTGACTATCTAATTGGTAATTTAATTTCCCCAATAACTTCCTTTACAGGAACTCGATTTTGAATCCAAAACAAGTTACACGCTGCGCATAGAAGCTGCAAATCGTGATGCTGATCCCCGCTTCCTAAGTTTGGGTCCCTTCAGTGACACAACAACCGTAAAGATAATCGTGGAAGATGTGGACGAGCCCCCTGAGTTTTCCTCACCCTTGTACCCAATGGCGGTGTCAGAAGCTACGCAGGTGGGAAATGTCATTGGCACTGTAGCAGCTCATGACCCGGATTCTTCTAACAGCCCTGTAAGGTAAAGGCTTGTGGCTCCCCCTTTCCTACTGTTCTTATCACTATTCTTGTGTTCACACTCATGCTTCTGCATAATGGTCTTTTCTGGTTTGTAACAAATAAACTGCTACTTTCTCTCCGTGCAAGGCCATAGTATAAAACTCTCAAAAGGATAAGAACCACACAGCATCTCTACTAATTCAGTGTAGGGATTAATTAATTAATTAATTAAATTGCATATTAATTAAATAAGTAATCTTTCAAATTGATCTCCGTAGACAGCTTGTACTTATTAACTTTATTGTTTCTAGTTGTAAAAATAAAACAGTACATTATGTATGCATGCAGTTAATTTAAATTACCATTCTTAGAATTAGAATAAATGCATTGTTATAAAATAATCTCATGGAATATAATACAATTATGTTATGTAAGCAATTCAAACTATCTACACCCTTCCATCTGAGATCTGCTAGTGTGTTAGCATGTATGCATGTGCTTGTGTGAATGTGATGAATGATCTCTGTAGCTTTGGATGAACATAGTAGGAAAAATATGCTTGAGCAATTATGGACATTGTATTTTATTTTAAGTATGTAATATATTTCCACATTCAATGGCTGTTCTAGTTTAATTTCTTTTTCTGTGCTAAAATATCCTTACAACAATCAACTTAAAGAAAAGGGTTTATTTTTCTCACAGTTCCATGTTACAGTCCATCATGGCAGTGGGAACATAAACAGTTGACCACGTCATATTAATAGTCAAATATAGAAAGTAAACAAATGTATGCATGCTCAATTGCTTCTTATCAGTGCTTGGCTTGGATTCTTCACTCTTTTATGCCTCTCATTCACCAATTAATTGTGATATATATCATATACACACATATAAATTTACATATACAGCCTGCTGAGTTTATTTAGTGTTTCTCATATGTACATGTATTTAGGGTTGATGATGTGTGATTAGGTAATCTATCAAAAAGCTTGTCCCTAGAGAAGATTAATTTTCTTTTTCAGTAGCCATTAAGTGCCTGTAACTCTTCATCTAGAGGTGTAACCTTGTGCAATTTCCTAAAATTGTAGAATATGGATAGGAAATGTTTCCCCACTCTTACACAATTTAGGAGTTCCTCCATAGGCCTAGAGATCTGAGTCTTTCCACATTAATCAATTTAATTAAGACAAACCCTCACATTCATGCTCACAGTAAGCATAGATCAGATATTGATGATAATTGTACTTCTACTTAAATTATTTAATTTAATGAGGGGGATCGTAGTCTTTTCCAGTGGCTGAGAGTATTAAAAGGGATGAAATCATACTAGCATTTACCATTATTTAGTGCCACAATGAACAAGGGTATTTATGAACATCTAAAGAGTCCATTGGTATTTTTTATCTTAATTTTATTTTCACTATTAAATCCGTTGTAGATTATATTATTGAAATTTTCCTGAGAAACCATTGCATTTATCAAAAATTTTTTATGTGAAATGAGGCAATAGTAATGATATAATTAAAGGGAAGAAAAGGCAAAACAGGCTTAAATGGATAGTCACTGGCATTAGGATAGACGAAATATGTTCCAAGGTTGATCTCCAAAAGAGATAGCCATGCCTAAGGCTACGTAGGTTAAGATCATATGACTTTTACCAGTGAAAGAACATGCCTGTCCACTGTTTATCACCTTGTTTTCCTTTTCTAAAATGTATGGAAGATGAGTTGGAAGTTAACAACAATCTTACATTATTTTCTCACGGAGAAAAACATCCATGATGTCAGTGAGAAATAAACTGTTTCTATCTGAGGTGTAGAAAAGGAGCACACACGTTCTGATGGTAACTTTATTACTGAATCTTGAAAACTCTTTTTCTCTCAGAAAACTCTAGACAATATATGAGTTACATTTTGAGGGTCACATTACATTTCTTGAGTAAACAATAAGAAGCAGAGTCACTCTGATTACATACATGGTATTACAGGGTTTCTCTCAGACTTGGAATGTTGCACTGATTGAAACCAATGCTTGGCTGTCAGCCATGCTCCCTGGTAAACAGGCAGGAGGCACATAGTGCTTGAATGCCCCTCACTTTCTCAAGAGACAATGACCTTAAAGCATCACAGGACCTAAACATAAACAGTTAGTTGGCTGATCCTCGAGTCTTGTATCATAAAACTAAGATTAGGAGTTCATGAAGACAGTTAGAATTTATATAGGGAGTTATGTATTTAATGGTATGAGCTAGAGTTTTCAAAGCAAAGAACTGGCACTAAAATTGCTTCATGCCTGACCTTGGTTCAACATAATTTGACAGTACAATCAAGGTACCCAGAACATTCTGGTTTGGTGACAGCATATATATCAAGAAATGACAAAATGCTCTTCAACATATCTGAACCTTAAGCAGGAGAGATGTAAACAGACTCATCCTTGTTGTTATATCCAGAGACTATTCATCATTGCTAATCATTTCTTACAGGGAATCTTACTCTTTTATTTATCTCATAAACTAGAGTTACTTTCTGTGAGGTTTGTTAATTTGTTCCATAGGTTCCCTTTTTCCCCAAGTTAGTCATTTATTTTCTATAGATTACAATTAAAGCATATTAGCAAAGTAATAGAATATAAATCAGATTGAGCTCTGGAAACTTTCAAACTCATGGACAATGGCTTTGTGGAAGAAAAATTGTATTTTTATTAAGAGATCAGTTAGTTTTCAGACTGTAAGCACCCCTTCAACTTGTATCTACAGAGAAACAACAGTCTTCCGAGGAAGTAGGGAACAGGAACTTCCAGATGGTTGTAGAATGTGATGAGTCTTCATAATTATGATCTTGATTCTATGACTTTACAAATGTTGTTCATTTTGTTTCACATTTATTTAGTGTGTGTTTGTGTTTACACTTGTGCATATTTGTGCACATACAAGTCTGTATATACTTGCACAAAGTGGCTATACAGTGTAGAGATCAGAAGTTAATTTTTGAATCTTGTTCTCCCTTCTCACCATGTGGGTTCTGATTGCTAACCCTATTGTCCTTGAGATATAAAAAAGAAGTGTTTGCTTTACTGTAGTTATTTAAAGGGAAGACAGTTTTATTAGAAGTGCTAAATAGTGCAGACATTGAATCATCAGTTAACATAATAATGTTAGCAAATTATGATACCAGATGGAAGGCTGACATATGCCACTCATGTTTAGGAAATTTACTATTAAATGGGGGTGATTCTAAGTAGAAATATAAGTACAAATTTCCAGTAAAACAAAAGTAAGATAAGATACTCTTCTTATGTGATGTGGATCATGTTACATCCATATGTATTCATATCCAAAAGGAAAACTCAGTTTGCTAATGCATTAAACACAGCCTACATATGTAACTTTTCTGTGTGCATCTGTCCTCTGCTGAGAAGAAATTGCATGATTGCATCACTGTCATAACATTGTCATTTTGACTGTTATAGATGTAATTGGTACAAATGAAAAGGCTATAGGAACCCACACCTGTGTGATTGTCTACAGTACAACACCATTAGGAAATATTAGGTCTCTCTGTGGCCTTACTCTCATCCAGATAGCTTATTTAAAGTGTACCATACTACATTTAATTTGCTTTCCATTTTCCATATGTGAAAAAACAAATCTTCAGTGAAATACAAGGTGAAAATTAGGTGATATTTAAAATTTCTCAGGGGAAAAAATAGTGACTATTTGTTCTTCTCTAAGCAATTGTAGATAATAGAGAGTAAGCATTTCTCTGGCTTGTTTCAAAATATTTGTATAGTATTTTATGTCATTTCAGGACTGAATGCTAAACATGTAGGTATATCTACTAAAAAAGGAAGGATGGGTTGCAGCCCATTCTATCTCATTGTCTTTTAAAACAGTAGCAATTTCACTTTGTAGTTCTTGTCCAAGATTGTAAGAACCATAAAGGACCATAGGGATTACAGAACTTCAACTCATTCTTCAAGTCAGCATTGGCAGGCTGATCAATGGCTCAATATACATTTATTAAGAATCTGTTCTGTGAAAAACTCTTGGGAAAATGCTGATAAGAAATAAAGATGAATAAAACATTTCCTCCAACACCTAGGAACTCACGATCTAGAGGAAGTACCAAAATCTCATTAAAAATAAGAACTACAAGGGAAAAAATGCCTTTGATGTAATGTGGAAAATTGTGAGACAAATCAAAGCAACTCAGATCACTGGACAAGAGGCTTCACTCAGAGGAATGATAGCATCAATAGAGCTTTGGGTATTATAGTCTTTGGATAAGCTAATAACAAATATAATGCAGAGAATGATGATGTTTCATTTAATTATATTCTAAGAACCTGGTGCTAAATTATGAGAAGACTGATTACTAAAGGACCAGAACAAACTGAAAGACAGAATGCTGAAAGTAGCTGTGTGTTGAAGTATGGTATTAGTAAAAATAAGATTCATTGTGAAGATGGCTGTATAAAAAAATATTAAGCAATATTTTCATGATTTCTTACTATTTCTATCAAAAACTACATGTCAATGTTACAGTATGCTTGCACTGTATTCACTAAAGACATTAACATTCATTGTGTTGCATGTTCTCAGATAAAAGACAAAATTGTGTCAGAAATACCATCATGTAGTATGGTAGTGTGAACACATTTGGGGTGTTTGAATAATTTAGTGTGTGCTTTTAAGTAGCTTGTATGCATGCATATATCTGTGAGCATTATTCTACATAATTTATGAATTTTTCATTTTTATACCGCACAAAGTGAACTAGTGCTATGCAGAAGCAGCGATAACAGTGCAGATGGTTAATCTGAAAAGTAGCAGGAACCAGATCAGTGAGGAAATTAGGAGTATGTTCCATTTCAAACTGTTGTTCATTTTAACATAATTGCTACTAAAAATGCTTTAAAAAAATATACATCCCAATACTTTAGAAACCAACAAAGTGTTTTGTTATACTAGTGTTCTTTCTATGAAGATATAATTTTAAAAGCATGTAAAGCAGAAAATGA